AGAACCAAGGGTTGGAGGTAGGCAGTGTGAGAAATATCAGAGGAACTCACCGGTAGCCAGTGTTTGCTACGGTGGGCGTGCTGAACTCCTCCCACTCCCCGAACGGCTGGGGCAGTTTCTAAAGGCCAATCGTCCGGCCACTCAGCCATTCGGATGACACTTACGTCAGCTCCAGTATCTAAGAGACCCGAAAATACTTTGTTACAGATTGTGAATTGTAACACAGGCCTGGCTTGTTCCACTGTTTGATGGACAGTAAATGCCCACGCATCAGCCGTTTTAACAGGCACCGGAACAGCGGTTGCTACTAATTCTCCCTTGCTAAATTTTGTGGGAGTATTCCCAATTACTGCCATGGCCACTGATGAAAAGTCATCAGAATCTCTCAGAAACGGAGAAGCAATGATTCCCTTTGCCATGAGGTCTCGGATGGGATAAATTATGAGGGGCGTCATGGCAGGAGGGATCGTTTTCAGGCATGTGGGGAGAAAGTAAACAATGCCTGGAATGTCAATCTCCATATCTTCTGAGGCAATTAGTTGGAAAGACATGGAGTCAGCCTTTGGAGCGGGGCTGGCTGATCGCCCCTCCTCTAGTTTCCCTGTGGCAGAGGAATGTTACTTTCAAGGACCCTTTCTCCGGATAAGCCGGATATTGTGTATAAATGTAAGTCAAAAGGGTGATAAGGTCCTTTTTAGTTGGAACCGGGAGCGTTTTGCCCTGATACCTAAGAATAAGAATTGAGCTCTTCGTTAATTCTCCTAATTCCTGCAAATGTGCTATCTGCGCTTTGGAGAACTTTCCGCCCATACTCACCTGAAGGGAGGATGTCTTCTTTAAGGAAGATTCCTGGGGAGGGATCCGTGACACGAGACGGCGTCCCTGAGTTGCAACCGGCTCGTCCGGCCGGGTGAGATAAGCAGTCGAAGACAGACGCACCCATTTCTTTTAACGGATCACGTCGGGGTCACCAGATGCGGCTTTGCTCCGCATTAGGAAGGCTTCTCACTGGGTGGTCGAATGCATCAAGAAAGACACCAACGCAGGTTCTATCTTGGGTGAGCTGCCCCGATCACAAGTTCGGGAAGCTCTTTTATTAAAAACACATAGTGATACGTCATAAGCGGTGAATTCTATCCAATCATTCTGTTACATGAGCAGAAATATTAGTGGACACATAGTAACATCCAATCACAGTTACATGGTCAGTTTGAAAGGTACAAAGTAGCCAATTAGCGTTTGCAGTCCAGTTATTAGCCCATGGTGACGTGTTGTTGATTGATGTTCCTGGTACACGCTTTCAGCCTACGTGAGGCCTTGAGGCCTGGTATGTACCGAAGCTGATTTATTACTGCACTGGAGGCCGATTTTTTCATTGCCCCAAGTGAGTCCTTGACAGCAGCTCCCATTGGAGGGTGGCTAAAATTGTTTGCTGATCAATGGGACAGTTCCACCTCTGATGTGTGGGTCAGGGACACTGTTAGGTTTGGTTTGGGGCTAGAGTTTCAATCCTCCCCCCCCCCCGAACTTTTTCATTAGGAGCCCTATGTCCACGGACCCCATTAAGAGGGCTTTGATGCAGGAGGCTATCAATCATCTTCTGCATATTCGGGCCATTAGAGAGGTCCCATCTGAACAACAGGATCAAGGCTGTTACTCTCTATTGTTTGTGGTCCCAAAGAGTTCAGGGGGTTGGAGGGCAATTCTGGACCTCAAACGTTTGAACAGATCATTGGTTTATCGAAAATTCAAGATGACTACTCTCCAGTCCATTCTGCTCAGCATCAGAGGACTTTTACCAAGGTCCTGGCAGCTTTGGCTGCCTCCCTCAGGATCAAATCTATTCGTTTACAATGTTATCTGGATGATATTTTAATTTTGTCATCTTCCAGACATCAAGCAAATTTGGATACCAAGATTACTCTGGAGACCCTTCAAGGTCATGGCTTTTCCATAAATTGGGATAAAAGCCATTTGACCCCCTCAACTAGGTTAGTTCATTTAGGGGCAGTGATAGATACTGTGGAGGGCAAGGTTTTTCTCTCTCAGGACAGGCTGAATAGCATCCAGTCTTTGGCCAGAGAGATCAGAGCCTTAAAGAGGGTTTCCTTGGCAGTTCTGTCTCAACTGTCAGGGAAACTGATTTCTTGTATTTCCATTGTGCCTTGGGCTCGATTCAATTCTAGAGATCTGCAATAGTTCCTGCTACCTTTCCAGCAATCCAGAAGAGCCACTTCCAACGTCCGGATAAAGGTACCGCACAATGTTCTCCGATTGCTCCGCTGGTGGTCAGAAAACATGATAAACAAGGGATGTCCTTTCAAGGAACCTTGCAGAGCAACGATCACAACCGATGCCAGCCTGGTAGGATGGGGAGCTCACTTCCAATCCCACACTGCACAGGGAATTTGGACTATTTCCGAACAATCACAAAGCATCAACCTGTTGGAGCTGCGAGCAGTTCATCTGGCGTTACGCAGTTTTCTACCCCTTTTCCAATCACGCCATGTTCTGGTCTTGACAGACAATATCACAACCAAGGCCCACATAAACAGACAGGGGGGTACCCACTCCAAACTTCTGATGCGGGAGACAGCAAGGTTGTTCAAGTGGGCCAAGGCCAATCTGTTGTTGCTCAAGGCAGAGCACATAGCAGGGGCCTTAAGCACACAAGTGGACTGGCTCAGCAGGGCCACAATAGATCAGGCAGAGTGGTGCCTACACCCATTTGTCTTCCAGGAAGCAGTGCGGAGGTTTGGGCAACCGGTGATCGATCGATCTGCCTCTCCCCTCAACGCCCAATTACCTCGCTATATTTCAAGGTACCCAACTCAGGGGGCAGAGGCCGAAAACGCCCTGCGATGTCAGTGGCCTCCCGGACTTCTATATGCGTTTCCTCCACTTCCTGTAATACCCAGGTTGATCCAGAAGTTATTGGAGGAATGAGCGGAATTGATATTGGACACCCCTTACTGGCCCAGGCAAACGTGGTTCGCGGACTTACAGGACCTGTCGAGCCAACCACCTTGGAAAATTCCACTGTCGAGGGTTTCCCTCTCGCAAGGGCCGGTACTTCACCCGGACCCACAATGGCTCAGCCTAGCCATATGGATGTTGAGCAGAGCCGTTTAAGGACCCAACAGATTTCAGAGGATGCCATTGCCACCATACAAGCATCCAGACGGTCCTCAACAAATCGTATATACGAGGCTACGTGGTCCGTTTTCTGTCCCTGGTTCTGGGGGTCTAAAATCGATCCAACCGCCCCATCAATAGGACAATTATTGGACTTTTTACAGGAGGGGTTGACCAAGGGCCTATCTCCAAATACTTTACGCAGACAGGTGGCGGCCTTAGCCTCAGTGATATCCTGGGGTGACCTTCATTCCATAGCGCACCATCCACATGTCTGCAGCTTTCTTAAGGGTGCTGCAAACTTATGACCTCCTGTAATTCACCACTATCCCACTTGGGAGCTCAACAAGGTGTTAACTGCACTTACATATGGCCCGTTCGAGCCTTTAAGAACCGCTAGTCTCAAATTCCTGACATATAAGGTGGTCTTCTTAATTGCGATCACATCAGCAAGGAGGATTTCCGAATTGGCAGCATTGTCGATGAGAAAGGACCTGTGCGTATTTCATGCGGACAGAGTGGTTCTCAGATTGGATCCATCGTTCACCCCTAAAGTAAATTCAGTCTTCCACAGAGCACAGGAGTTGGTGTTTCCAAATTTTTGTCCGAAACCATAGACTGGAGCATCAATGGCATCAACTTGACATTCGAAGGGCATTGAGCATCTATCTAGACCACACAGCAACATTTCGTAAATCTGAGGCTCTATTCATATCCTTCAACCCATCCACTTTAGGACACAAGGTGTCGTTGACGACCATTGGTAGATGGTTGAGAGCCACCATAGCTAAAAGTTACGAATGCCAGTCCATCTCAGTTCCTAAGGGCATTACAGCCCACTCGACAAGGAGTGCGGCAACATCAGCAGCATGGGCCACAAGGGCTTCCATAGATGAAATTTGCAGAGCGGCAACTTGGGCTTTACCATCGCCCTTTGTCAGAAATTATAAAATTGATGTCTATGCCTCAGTGGATGCTTCATTTGGCAGAAGAGTTCTGCAGAGGGTCCACTGAGTTTAGGAGTGGATTTTGATCCAGACGGAGTCCCTCCCTAAGGACAGGCCAAGCTTTGGTATATCCCACTTCTGGATGCTCTGAACAGCTGATGGGAGAAAGGGCGTTGGTACTTACCTGATACCCCCATTCTCTGTGAGCTGTGAAGAGCATCCAGCCCCACCCATTTCTTTCCGTCTGGTGGGGTTCCGTTCCGGTCAGGGATCTAGATTAGGTGATGAGTTCCGGACTTTGGCACTCAGTCTTCGCAAAACTGGGGGACGCTGGGGAGGTGTCCCGTGGAGGAGGAGGAGCGTCCCGGAGTTTTAATCCCAGCCTTTCCAGAAGAGACTGAAGCACCTCCCACTTCTGGATGCTCTTCACAGCTCACAGAGAACGGGTGTATCAGGTAAGTACCAACGCCCTTTCTGCATGTCTGCTATCTTTTAAGTTCAAGCAGGGCTGCCTCTTATTATATTTACATTTATAAGGATTTTTTTAGTCTATGTCTAGTTTTGCATAAATACTTCAGTAAACCTTTGTTATGATTAACTAATTGAACTTCTTAAATTGTTTAAGATTATAGCAAGTTGATTGTTGGGCTTTAAATGATTCCAGGGTTTTTGTGTTGGAATGGATTGAGAGTGTGATATGGAAAATTGAATTCAAATAAATCCAATTTCACAATCTAATCTTCTGCAGTGTTCCAAGCTAAAGTCTATTTTAGGAGGATGGGGCAATATTAATAGAAGTATTTTTTTTTTCTCTTTAAGGATCGTCAACCAAAAGTATCTGATATCCTTGTATAGATGTTGATAGTATGGTAAAAAGATAATTAAATAATTATTCAATTGTTATCTCATTACTAATAGATAAGGAAAATAAAGATTGCCTTGGCATTGTCGGAACTTGTGATATATACTAAATCTCAAAAATTTACAAGCTTTGAAGATTCAAGAAAAAACCAGCGTTTTTATGAAACTAATTCAATTGGTGAGGCAAAAGCTCGAAAGCTGGTAAAACTGAAAGGTAATTTTTGGCATTCAGACCAATAAAATAGATGGTGTTGGGTTTTTTTCTTGCTTAGGCATCAGAGCAATAATGTGCTTTATTAAACAATTTTTCCTAGGCTGGGAGGACATGGAATGTTTCTAGTCTAGTTCAGTTCTCTGCTGCAGATTTGCTTCATAGTACCTAATTGGTTGCTACAGTTTGCCTCTGCTGAACTATGGAAAGAAAGAAGTAAATAAGTGTTTCTTGCCCATTTTTGTTCATTTTAAATAATTAAACATAGGTTATTAGTGCACAACTAATGTGATGCACTGAACAATACACTGACCATTGGGTTCTTTCAGCCCAATTCAAAGTGGAAACAATTCAAATATGGGAGTTGTCTTTTCTTATGCCTGTTTCTGTGCCTAGTCCCTTATCCAATTTTTATACCTAAAAAGCAGGTTATTATTACCTGCTTGCTGCTAATCCTGCTTAAAGTGCTTCTAAACTCAGATTGAGAATATTTATTTTAACTTTTTCTTCTGATCCAAAGCCAAAGCATTGGGCATGCAATACAGATAAGACTTCACATGATATTATACTGTAGATGCTTTGTTTCTACTGCTTCCATAGTAGAATCTGCTGATACAGATGAAGAATGTACTATGTTGTAAGCAAACTGCCTTATGCTTTTGTACTTTTTTTTTTAAAGCATGTTAAAATGGTGCATTTTATTTTGAGGAAAAACCATCATAAGAGTCCAAACCAGGCTGTGCTCCTTACTGAGATAGTATCATCCCTGCTAAATTGTTTTCTGTTGTTGTAAAGTTGCTTGCATGGTATAGCACCCATTGAGGCAAATAACAATGTCAGAGAGCTACAATAGGAACTGTTAGACTATGCTCTGGACTGAAAGCAAGTTGTTAGTTGCTTCTTCTTCAAATAAACATGACTATACATAATTATATATACATATAGTCTGAAGAATCCAGCATGTGGAATGTCTCTGATTGATTGGATGACCTATATATTTTGGTTATGGTAACCACATAGAGGGATCATACAGTAATCAATTAGAAATATCTAATAAAATGAAAACATGTATCTGAGATGAATAAATGTCTTCTTTTTAGTGATCATATTATATTTCTTCATGCAATGTGTGTTTATGCACAGGTGTAGATATGCCTTTAAGTTGATTGTGTCACTTGATTATGTTTAGATTTTAGATTATTTTATTATTAATGTTTAATTTTGGAAAATGAAGAAACAATTATAAATATAAATAATACTTGACATACAAAAACATGGAATGAAGGTTGCAAATCAAGTAGTAATTTGGATTTACACCAATATTTCCAATATTCAAAATTTTCACACCAGTATTTTTGTTAAATCTGCTCATAATAGGTATCAAAATGTTTTGAACATGTCCATAAAGTTATTTTAGTTGTTCTATAAAACTGGCTATTCTTAATGCCTTTCGATAATGCAGTATTACATGCGTCTTTTTATAGCAAATGAATTTGTTCAACATACTCTCAGATTTCTCACAAGAATATATCCTAGAGGAATTCGAACCAACTCTTCTAATTATAATCCTCAGGAATTTTGGAACATTGGGTGTCAGATGGGTAAGTGTTTTAAGATTATTACCTTTTGCTTATATTTTTCTTCATATTGCATAGTAATGTAAATGTATTTAAATTACCTTTCAGTATAAGCATGTCTTCTAGCATTCTTTTATAACTAACACAAATTCAAAAAAGGGAGGGAGGAAAGAAATCTGCATGTGGAAGAGGGAAACTCTGTGGATGTAAAACATGGAATAATGGATTTGGGAGGGACCTTGGAGTAATCCCAGGAGTCTCCATGAAGTGCAGGGTCTGCATGGAGGCTCCGGGAGGGGGAAAAACGGGCCTTCTGGAAGTCTGGAAACGGGCCTGTTTCTGGCTCCCGGAGGGCCTCCAGAGTCCGGGGAAGGCTGTTTTCGCACTCCCAGAGGCCCAGGAGAGGCCTCCAGACCCTTGGGAGGGCGAAAAACAGCCCTCCTGGAAGTCATGAAACGGGCCTGTTTCCAGATTCCAGTGGACCTCCAAAGCCTGGGCGAGGCTGTTTTTGCCCTATCAGAGGCCAAAGGGTGGCCTCTGGACCCTTAGGAAGATGAAAACGGCCTCTTCCAGGTTCTGGAGGCCCACTGGGAGCTGGAAACCGGAAGCTCTGGTAGGCCACACCCAACATGGCCATGCTCACCCAGCAACCGGGCAGCGAACCAGTTGCTGGGATTTTTGAATCCCACCCCTGGTCATATTGTGGTATGAATGGAGTGATTGGTCTTCCAACAACTAGTGTAGAGCTTCCTCTCTTTCTTTAGAGATTATTAGAGGATTCCAGCACTAAAATCTAACTTCATATAGTAAGTAATATCAGGAATTAAAATAGCTTTCTCATTTGCCTTTAGAGTCTTCAGACAATGCTTCTGAAAGAACATGAGTAGTGCATATATTTTACCTAAGAGGAAACTTCCAGGCAATAATTAATCTTTATCTGTTTCAACCTAAGCTTTAAAGTGTGCATTTCTTAGATTCTTATATGAAGTTGCAAGAGTTCTATATTTAAAGTAACTTTGCTGACCTTCCTCTGTGCAGATTTATTCTTTTCTTAGAAATGTGTAGAGCAGAGAAAGGAATCTACCTTTGTTCTTGCATTTCTCCTCTTCTGTCTAGGCTACATAGAGTTCGCTTTTCACTTCACTTTGTAGCCTCTTCTGCCTTGTACATTGACTGCATATATAATGTGGTTGAAACAAATTAGATTTGGAAGATCATACTTACTTTTATGAAAATTGTGGCACCCAGACTACCACTCCCTCACAACACAACACAATACAACACATACCACTTTGGCAGTAGCAATTATTTTTTGCATATATCATCACACCGCTATAAAGAAATGAAAAAGCACAGATGAATTCTGGATAGCAGACATGAATAACTGTGCAAGTAGCATTCTTCCAGTAGAGAAGTCTACAGCCGATTGCGAGAACTACTGTGCAGGTAGTCTTCAACTTACAAGCACAATTGTGCTCAAAGTTTCTGTTGCTAAGTGAAACATTTGTTGAGTGAATTTTGCCTCATTTTATAACCTTTCTTGCGACAGTTGTTAAGTGAATTATTGCAGTTGTTAAGTTAATAATATGATTAAATGAATCTGATTTCCCCTTGACTTTGCTCGCAATAGGTGATTATGTGACCTCAGGACACTGCAACTATCATAAATATGAGTTGCCAAGGGTCTGAATTTTGATCACATGACCATGGGGATACTACAATGGTCATAAGTATGAAAAATTGTCATAAGTCACTTTTTTCAGTGCTACGGTAACTTTGAATGGTTACTAAATGAACTGTAGTAAGTTAAGGACTACCTATATTTTGATTAAAAATTTATTTCTGGATATAATTAACTGGTTAGTTGTGCTGTTAGGTTTAGGTAAGGGGAAGGAATGGTACAGCATATATTATGCATTGAAAAGTCTAGGACTTAATAGTTAGCAATTTCATGAAGGTCTGGAAAACATTTCTGTTTTAGACTTCTGAAGAACGGGTTATTAGTGTAATACTAATCTGAATAGACCAAGAAGTTATGACATAATGGATAATGGTTCATGAATACATAATGGTTCATGAATACAGGATAATATGTCAATATACAGTATATTTCATGGGCATTTCATTTCTGAGCAGTAAGGCTGAGGCTACAGTGCTTATTTGGGGTTCAGTTTCTTTGAAACAAGATCATTGAAGATTAATTGCCTTTTGGTGATAGTTACATATATACACAGATATGCAAGTAGAGCATAAGAGCTTCATAATATTAGCATTCTGATAGATTTTTGTTATACCCCATTTGATTTCTCATAAGTAAAATTACTGGTAGATGTAGACATAGAAAGCCTTCTCAAAAATTATAGAAAAAGAAAAAGTTTTCTGAAAAAGTTGTTAAATTCCTCTCTGAATCTCTTTACAAGAGTTTGTTCGGCTGTCTGTTTGCTTGCTTATTTGCTTATTCATTCAACTTAACTACCTATTCATTCACCAAGCAACTCTGGACATTTTAGACAATTATCTTAGAACAGTTGCAGGCAATCTATATTCTATGAGCCATGTAGAACCTAACTATCTTGTTTGTTTGTTAAGTTAAAGGTCTCTACCTCATCATTTTTCAGCAGAAAATAAACTTTCTTGTAGATTTAACTCACAGCTTTGTATAGCATCTGTGTGTGTCATGTATGCTATCATAAAGGCTCACAGTCTTTTAGGGGAATGTTGCTGCTTCAGCACTGTAGACCATTGACAGCCTTGCTAGGTAGATCAGAACCAAAAAAAAAAAAAAAAACAATTCCACAGGAAGACTGAGAATAGTTATAATAACATAATCTACTAAGTTTAATTGTGGTATAATTCCTCCTATATATTACAGCAAGAAATTTAATTAGAGAGATGTCTATCTGAGTTACTTCCAAATATTATATGTCTGTTGTGTGCTTAAACTATGTTTCACTCCCTATTGTCATAAAGATCTTAGCCATCTCTAAGTAATATCTCTAAGATTATTCTCTACAATCACACATTAATAATTTAATATTTGGATTATTGTCTTGTGCTTTATGTGGTGCTAATGTCATCTTTGGTTCAGAAATTACAGCTGATGTAGAATGACGTGCCAAGAGTGTTAAGAAGGATACCTCAGTATATCATATATAACAGCATTGGGGAATTTGTGCTAACCATTTACTACCGTGTTTCTCATATAATAAGGCTGGGTCTTATTTTTTTTTGAGCCCTGAAAAAATGGCTAGGCTGTCTTTTCGGGGGTGACTTAATTCCCCCCCCCCTTGCATCTTCTGGCGGGCGGCGACAGCTTGGATGTTGGTGGGGCACTTCGTATCGGGGTCAACACAGGCAGCACCATATCTGGGTGTGCAACAAAAGTACTTCCTAACGGCAAGCCCCCCCACCATTCCCCCCCATTTCGCATGTTTTAATATAGGCCTTAATTTGGGGGGAGGGGCTTAATTTCATTTCATGCCTATAAAATATGCTGGGACTTCCTATTGGGGGAGGCCGTATTGTTGGAAAAACAGGGTAGGAACTGCTAGTTTAGGATTTTGCTATTGGCATAACAGGCTTTTTCATTCTTTTCATTCTTTTAATTGAGTAGCCATTTTAAAATGCTTTGTTTTATTGTTCCTTTAATGTTTTGAAACTTGTTTTAATTATAGGTTACCCTGAACTATTAAGTGAGCAAGTAGCATTCATCTACTCTAAAAATAAATTTAAAAGCCAAGACATTTTATAATCAAATTGCCTGGTAGAATGTTTTTGTGTCTTAGACCCAGGTGGCCAATGATTACCTACTATTTGTAGGGTGATTTTATATGTGCTCTGTGGCAGAAATATGGTGCCTACTCTCTAGAACAAGGCTAACATGACTGGAGGAGGAATTCTGGGAGTTGTAGTCCACAAGTCTTAAAGCTGTCAAGTTTGAAGACCTCTGCTCTAGAATGTTTCTGCAAAAGTCAAACCAGATGGAGTCTAGTTTAGACTCATCTCTGCACACAGACCGTTTTTGAATATTCTTCTCTGAATATGGACTGGATGGCATGAAAACTAAGTGCAACTCTCTTGAAAATTATACTTAGATATTATGTCTTACCAATTTTGTTGAGTAAAGTGAAATTTTTAGCTTGGTGAATGACAAAGGCTTCTTTCAAAATGAAACTCAGGTTTTAGGAATTAGACAAAGCAAGCATACTCATTCTCTCTTTAAGAATATGGTGTAAATTTTACTGGGAGAGTGGAGGGGGGTTATTTATTTCCAATGAAATATTTTATTTTGTAAAATTGTATAATTGTATCATTTTTTTATTTAATACATAGCTTAAGTTTAATTATTCAAAGTATTTTATTTCTTGCCTAACCCTAAACCAATGAAATTAGCTTTATTTGAGATGCAGTTGCCTAAATTCATTCCAGCATTTTAGGGATCATTATCTGAGAATCCCTTCATTAGAAAAAAGTGGGCTGAAAATTGTTTATTTAATAAAACATAAATGTAGCTATATAGATAGGAAATAGAAATTGATTCCAAATGGCAATAATCCTTGTGAAGAAAATCATAGAAATGTAGTTGATTACAAATTAGTACTAATAAATGCAATTAGATTGCATTTATAGCTTCAATATCATAGGCAGCAATAATTCTACATTTTCCATTGGTCAGAACCAGAAGGCATCCTTACTTCCCACTCAGATTGAGACTATCCTGCTCTGTTGTCCATACAGAATACTGAACAGCAAATTTGGAAGAGACCTTGGAGGTCTTTTAGTCAACCTCACACCCCTGCTTAAACAGGAAACCCTATAATATTCTGGACAAATGGCTGTCTAGTCTCTATCTAGAAAACCTCCAGTGATAGAGCACCAACAACTTCTAGAGGCAAGCTGTTCCACTGATTAATTGTTCTACTGATAGCTTTAATGTGCAACATTCTGAGGGCCTTGATTTGTGGCTCCTTTGACAGACATGCCAGCTCCACCTAACATAATTCACTATGTGAAAATGTGGCATGCCTAATACTTTGGTCACTCCATTGCACGGCTTGTTTTAGTTTTTATTTTCCATCATACCATCAGTTCAGTGGTGGGATTCAACTTTTTTTTACTACCAGTTCTGTGGGTGTGGCGTGGTGGGCATGGCAGGGGAAGGATATTGTAAAATCTTCAGTCAGCGGTGGGATTTGCTGGTTCTCCGAACTACTCAAAATTTCCGCTACTGGTTCTCCAGAACTGGTCAGAACCTGCTGAATACCACCTCTGCATCAGCTAGCTGAACTTTTGTTTTTGTTTTTATACTTTGAAATTATGGCTTGTTTGGTTGATTGTTCAACATATCGACCACTCGATAGCAAGCAAAAATTGAAGGGTTCCCTCATCCCTCCATGTCTCTTGGCTATTATCTTATCACTATCCAAGATGAAACTATTGAAGAACTGGAATTTGAGAAAGGATTTAGCAGTGGAGACTGCTGTGAGAGTTATGCTATGAACCTTAAGAATGTTACACGAGCAGAGGAATCAGCAGCCACCGGGAGAAAATCTCCAGCTATGCAGTCCCAAAAGTACAAGAGATGAATTCTTTCAATTACATTTCTGATTATATGGATTAAGTCAAGGATAAGCTAGTTAATTTCAGGGTTTCGCTCCCTGGAATAGAGATTTTCAAACATTTTCTGACCATAGACTGTAGAGCCTGTTAAAAAGCAGTTCCCAAAGCCCCAGATCAAACCCTAGTGATAGAAACAAAACAAACAAAAACTTGCATAAACATACGTTATGCAAATGAATATACGTGAAACTTCTTTCACAAAATAGATAGTGCAATTACAAGCACTGGAATTGGTTTAACTTCTTTTATTTTCATTTTTTTCTGTACTGCCTGCAGTTGCATTAGTTTGTAGCCAATGATGCATATCTGGAAAAAATGTATCCATTAGAATAAGAATTTATATGTGCGCTCTCTCTCTCTCTCTCTCTCTCTCTCTCTCTCTCTCTCTCTCTCTCTCTCTCCCTCCCTCCCTCCCTCCCTCCCTCCCTCCCTCCCTGTGTGTGTGTGTGTGTGTAATATCAGGCCTTCAGTCCATTGGATTACTGGAGTCATAAATTTATCCTTTCAATGTTGAAGAACAAGTCAATATTTAAATAATTTCTAATTAACCAATTTATAAATGTTCATCTTAATACAGTGGCCTTAAATTTCCAAACACCTGGAGTACAAATGGATCTTCAAATTGGGAAATTTTCAGATAATGGTGGCTGTGGCTATATATTGAAACCTGAATTCTTAAGAAATGAAAACACACAATTTAACCTATATAATATATCTGCAGATCATCAACCAATTACACTTACAATTAAAGTAAGTTCATTTAAATTATATTATTTTTCTTTGATTTGCTTTTATAAATGCTTGTTACTGCAGCTTCCTGAGTTTTCTGCCGGAATTCTTAATAAGCAATTTTGAGCTCAAAAATTAGCTGGTGTCATTGTTCCAGGATGATCCCCATATTATTTATTTGCATATACTTACTATCTTCTTCAGAGAGTTTTATAAAATACATGATGCAGAGGTGGTATTCAGCAGGTTCTGACTAGTTCTGGAGAACCGGTAGCAGAAATTTTGAGTAGTTCGGAGAACCGACAAATACCACCTCTGACTGGCCCCGCCCCATTTATTCTCTGCCTCCTGAGTCCCAGCTGATCGGCTGAGTCTTCTTTTGTTACCCTGCACAGGAGAACGGAGCTGGACAGCAGGTTAGTGGGGTGGGGAGGGAATGGAGATTTTACAGTATCCTTCCCCTGCCGTGCCCACCAAGCTACTCCCACCAAGCCACACCAAACCTACCAAGCCACATCTATAGAACCAGTAATAAAAAAAAATTTGAATCCCACCACTGACATGATGGCATGTTTCTGAACTATGGTATAAACATGATTTCAATGTTCATATTTAAAAATGAGCCATAAGGAGATATGAATGGTTTCACATATAATAACAGATTTTAAAAGCTGATTAAAATTTTTAGTGCTTGCTTAGGTACCCACTGGTATTTGAGCTGACTATTTGGTCTGCTTTGTTATTTCTGTATACTGGTTCCTGGCTGTTACTTTATTTGTATACATATTTTTAATTTAATATGTGCTCTTCTTCCCCAAACTGATATTTTGAAAATCTTGAGTTCTAACTCTCAGAATTTGCAGCCAGTATGGCCAAAAGCTGCACTTGATTAGGAGTTCTGAGAATTCAAATCTTAATATAATTGTCAAGTGGCAGATTGAGGAAGGCTGCATACAGATCTAAGATATAAATATAGTCAAAAAGAATAAGATTTAATTTTAAGCAGACACAAATAGTACTATACAATTAATTGGATTGCTATGCCCTGGTTGCTGGATAAAATGACTTTTGGCTAAGATAATGCAGCATGGAAATAAATATATGACCCAAGCAGATAATCAGTTAAGCTTGGTGGCATCTAAACTAGAGATATTAAATGTGAGTTATAAAAATCTGGTTTACTTGAAAATAATGAAGATATAGAATTTTTGATATCTTTTTACTCGGGATAGTCTGGATTCATCTGCTCAAGTGCAGATTTTGTGGGATAGGATTAGGATCAGAGATGGTACTTCATCACATCCAGAAGATAATAAGGTGTAATATACTCACAATAAGGTATGAGTATGAATACTTTCAGACTGGTGTATTCCTAGAAGCCATTTCAGTTATGTAATTGATCCTCAGACTATTCCAACTAATCAAAAACGAATGGATGACCAGGCTTCTAAGATGATGATGTGCTGTGTTTGATGTATAAGGATTCAGATGGAAGGACATGTTCCTCTTAGCACTGTCTCATTACCTGGTTAACTTTGCCTTTTCAAAGTCCCACAGTGAAAATGTATACTGGGGAGCCTGATGACTAGAGCATTCAGTTTGGATGCTGGAAACAAGGAGAAACTTTCTGACAGTGAGAACAATCTACCAATGGAACAGCTTGCCCTCAGAAGTTGTGGGAGCGCCATCAGTTGAGACTTTCAAGAAGAGATTGGACTGCCATTTGTCAGAAATGGTGTAGGGTCTCCTGCTTGGGCGGGGGGTTGGACTAGATGACCTACAAAGTCTCTTCCAACTCTGATTATCTGTATCTGTATCTGGATATGAAAAGTCTGGTTTAATGAACACTCAGTTTATTTGTTGTGAGGTTAAATTGGTATTTTTATTTCTGAAGAAAAAAAGATAGGTGTCTAGGAAGCAATGATCTTAATTGAGCACAACAATTCCTGTCATTAGTCTGGTTTGGAATAATTCCAGAAATACTGGCTGAATGTGAAGGCTGTCAGTTACTGGCATGAATGTAGGATATCACAGTAGTCTCAATTCAATATCATATTTTTTCAGAGAACATTGTTATTGTTTTTTCTTACCCTTTATTCGGGGTGGGATTCAAATTTTTTAACAACTGGTTCTGTGGGTGTGTCTTAGTTGGTGGCGTGCTTGGTGGTCATGTGACTGGGTGGGTGTGGCCAACTCAATATCACTCACATCGAGGCACGCATCTCCTTGCCTGGCCTCTCATGACTGTGGGGATGCTGCAACAGTCGTAAGTGTGAAAAATGGTCATGTCACTTTTTTCAGTGCCATTGTAATTTTGAATGGTCACGCCACACAAGCAAAGTATCAGCAAAGGAGGGAAAAAAACTCCAGAGAAGTTCCTGAGACAGGAAGACTAGTCCTGCCAAGAATGTAATAAGGATTAACGGAGAGGCAGTTTCTGTAAGCAATATCAGAATGTTTCCTTCCTGCCTTCCTTACAGGATTAGGCCAGTAATTTCTTCTAACAATTGGTTCTCCGAACTGCTTAGAATGTTAACAACCGGTTCTAGAGAATAGGTGTGAACTGGTAGAATCCCAACCCTTCCTTTATTGTTTCCTTAAGTTGGCTTATTTTTCTTTATAAATTCTGGCAGAGAGAGCGCAAGATAGAGCGTGTTACAGTTTGATCACAAGTTAAGACACTGAACTGTAAGTTGAAAAGCCCAATTTTCAGTCCTGTCTTAGGCATTGAACTCAGTTGGATGACTTTGGGCAGTCACTCTCATTCAGTCCTAGAAACAAGGCAATGGCAAACCATCTTTGAAATTGCAATGAAATGATGCAGATATAAATAGAAAACAACCTCCAGCAATGAGTTCTTACTGAAGCTTAAAATATGTTGCTTTATCACAGACTTCTATTGAGGCACCCTCTGAAACAAGTGTGCAAGAAGAATTTTTGAGGGAAAATTGGGAGAAATTTTTGGCAAAGCTGACCTGGTTGGTTTCCAGTGATGGAACTATTTCTTGAGAATGACCTACTGAAGATTCATCAGCCTCCAACACTGTCAGTCTTTCCTTCAAAAAACCCTGAAGGCAGAACTTTTCTGGAGGGCTTTTGGGGCCTTGAAACCATGCTTTCTTTTGAGCTTTTGTTCAATGCTTGTGTTTTATACTCTATTCTATAGTTTTACCTTACAAGCCACTGACATTTCTGTGATTCTGGGGGAATACAATTTTGATTAAAATTAAACAAATTGCAGTTGAAAAATCAGCAAGGTACAAAGTTTAATGTAATGATTTTTTTTCACTTTTTGTCCTGGAGGCTTTAAATCCCATCCTTTCCTGCAGTACTTTATGATAGGCTTTGAAACTTTCGTAGGAAAAATATTAATGCCTGTAATAATATTAAATAATAATTAATAATAATAATTTTAAATGTTAGCATCCTAGTTAATGCTGGTATCTTTTCCTGCATTTATGCAGCTTATTAGTGGCCATCAGTTACCACCTAGCAACCTTTCAAGAACTAACAAAGCCGACCCTCTTGTTATACTAGAAATTTATGGCATTCCAGAAGACCAGACAAAACAACAGAGTTGTGTTGTAAAGGGCAATGGTAAGTGGAATCATATAGATTCTGTCAGGCAGTGCTTCTTTAGCCTGATAGCTTCCGGATAGTTTGAATCTACAATTTCCCAGAATTTTAACTAATCTGAGTGGCATTTTATTTGGGAAAGTATGGCATACTGTCTTTAATAATCTTGGAATTTTACACATCTTAACATAATTCCCTGATCAAGAGGCAAAGCAATGAGTTTCCATTACTACAAACATCCTTGGCGTATTGGGGCTTCTCAATGTCATCTGGACAAGCCCTACCTTTCTGATACACTTTAGAAAAGTTGTTATAAATGCCCATGACTGTATACTTTTCATTAAAGATATATGAATGGACAATCCGTGAGACAGAGTGGAGATCAGTAGAATTGTGGAAATTGTTATATGCTAAACACGGTTTGTTTTCCTATCAAATGAATGTATGTTTTAGAACTGTGAGAGGTTTTCAGCAGAAGTGCAGTAGGGTGATAGCCACTGCAAAGGTGACATAAATTTGAGATCTTCATGTGAACATCACCATATCTTTTAAAGAGAATAGATGAGACTGTATTCCTCTTGATTTCATTATAACCAAAGATGTAAGCGTCAGTGATATATTTCTTGTACATTTTGAGAATCATTCAATTTTCTATTCTTTTAGTCACTTGGAATAACCAGAAAAAAGAATTGAGAAGAAATATTGACTAACACTCAGAAGATAAAGTATTTTAGGGATCATTGTTTGTCTTATATTGCTTTTTTTATTTCAGCTTTGTGTCCTAGGTGGAATCAAACATTCACATTTGATATTCGTGCTCCAGAGCTTGCCTTAGTTCGTTTTGTTGTAGAAGATCAGTTTTCTCTTGCTTCCAATTATTTCCTTGGTCAATATACGTTGCCACTTTTAAGCATAAATAGAGGTATTACACTAATTGTTTTTGTGTACAAAAAAGTGTTCCAAATCTTTATTTTTTTGTTATAACATTTCTTTTGATTAATATACTATATAAGACATAGCATACAAGACATTGTAATATTGTTTCTATTATTGCTGATTCCAGAATTGTTCAATAGCTATACTTCCCTTACTTTATGAGATTGCATGATTGAATGGTGGGTCGACTTACATTTTTTAAAAATTTCAAATATTAGAGTTATGAGCTGTACAGTTTTTCTGATGTGACGTTCCGGGTTTTGGTTTGGCTCTGAGTTTGTTGGTTTTCGTGCCTGGGACTGCAGTCAGAAAAGAAGAAAATACTTCCTCCCTTTTCCAGCACCTTAAAACCACAGGACATGAAATTAATTTTGAGGGAACCAAATTAATCTCCAATACTGAACACTTCAACAAGAGAATAATCAGGGAAGCCATTGAAATAGAGAAACACCCCCATAACATGAATAAACGGGGTGATGCCTCCCGCCTACCAGACATCTGGAAACTAGCCCTTATCAACAAATGAGTCTCAGCCATGAAAACTAACACCAGACCCAAAACAACACATGACACCACCACCATTCTCCCTCACCAGACTCAAACTCAAACCCATCCCATAGACGAAAGACAACCACCCTCCACAAACCAGACCACGGCTGCATCATCAGCTGCCACACACCCCGACCCCCAAACCAAGCAAACAGACACACGCCATGAACACATATCCAGGTCTCAAACTTGGAGCTAAACCAAAACCCGGAACATCACATCACAGCCA